ATGTTTTTCATCATGCATAATAATAAACCCATAAATTTCCTATGTTTCAATATGTAGCATTTACAATAAAAGTATAGTTTCTAATGTATTTATAATTCAAAAAGTATTTCGTTAATAACATGAAAATAGACAAATTTAATGAGTACTCATTATTACATAAGCTATGCTTTTCTTTTTTTATACATCTTTTATGCTGTTTAAAATGTGTCACTGATTATGCAATTGACAATTTAAAAGATAAGTAATTAGGAGAAAAGCCGCTCATATAAAAACGGATTTTAAAAAATTATTCAACTTAAATTTAAGAAATAAAATTCTATTATATAACAGTGATAGTACATGATCAGCACGAAATACGACAAATTTGGCAAACTTTTGACGATAAACAATTTGTAAACAAATCCGAACTGCAAGAACGTCGTAAAATATTGTCAACTCTGAATTTCAACGATTATATATTTAATGAATATATAAACATTTTAAAAATGACTTAGGCAGTTATATTACAACAAAACAGCAATAATTAAATCGGCCTCTATTTCCACCGTCCATGTCTTCACAGTGAGAGCCATCGCCATATTGAAAGTTACCCTTGATCCTTCAGAAGCAGAACTTTCGTCTGATTGGTTGAACGTTCGAGGACCATGTCTCCAGCCGGAACATTTTCGGAAAGGTTTTAAAATGTTGCTCGTAGTCGGGACATGTTCCATCTAGCTAGACGAAACATTTCTTGGGAGCCTCCCACTTAAAGCAGTGCTACTAGAATCTCGTTTCTCGGAATTGTCCCGCATAGCAGCGCGCGTCCCTAGAAGTGATAGCCTCTTAAGGAGCATGTGGTACTTCATTTGAAAATATGAAATACCATTTTGAATCTTTATATGCGTTGGCCATACAATTTGCAATAACAGTCAAACCATTAAGAGGTGTGACACAATAAAAGTAATAACTTTACTTGTAATGTTTCTGCTCAACATTACAAAACTTATAACTTCATGACTAATTTGAGAAGATCTCAGTTGCCTGCAACATATTTGCCACTGAAGTGACTCAGTTCATTGACTAATGATTCTGCTGACTCTTCTTATATTGCTTCATCAATAATGAGTCTAGTCAGAGTGTAAGGTTTTCCTTACTTTTCCTAACGAATTATTTTAAGTCCTTTTCTGAACTTCTCATTTTCTTTTCGCATTTCCTAGCCAGGATACAAATTTAAAATTAATTAAAGACAGTATTTAAACATATGAATCTTGTAGTTTATTCAGAGCATGATTTTGCTAACCAGCACACATTACTAGTTTGTCCTTCTTGTTATGCAGAATTTCTGATACACCTTTCTGGCCATTTAATAAATACATCGCCGAGTAGGTTGTTTTGTCAGACTCATTAGCCTTAAAATAAATTGTTAGTCCAGCACTACTCTTTATCTTTAAATTTATTGTCGCAAGTCATCTGTGTTTTTGTAAGCACAAAGTGCGCACATTTTATGTTAAGAGTTTGAAGAATAATAATAATAAAGGGTTATTTTACCCTTTTTCTGTGCTGGTATACTTTTATGCCGGTGCGAGAAGTCGCCAGGTTATCTTGTAAGCTTATTTTACCTTTATGCTACCTAAGAAGGTACAATCTTACAAGAGGATTTAAATTGATTGTATAAAGACGAATAGGCATGACTAATTTAGTCTGCAAAATGTGTAAGACAGAACAAGTATGTGGAATGCTCTGAAACTTTGAATTAGAGAGAACTCATAAAAACTTTCAGCTAGTTGGAACTAATTTTATTTTCAGCTTTAACCCCTTCGCGCCGACTGTCATGTCTACGTGCCAGCAACGAACACACTCACTTCCCGGCCGACATGCAGGCGTGCCAGAGCATTTTTCCGTTCAGCCCTGACTGTCACGTATTTGTGCCAGTGTCCTGGAATGTTTTAAAAACTATAATTTCTGCCACAAGATGGCACTGTATGTCCATATGGTTTCAGATACATGTACATTAGACCTTCTACTTGAAATGAGAGAAGCATGACTCACATACACATGTTTTTGATTATATAAACAAAAGGGGAAATAAATGTTTCCGAATGGCGTGATTTATGACGTCTCTTTAAATTCGCACGTGGTAGTTGTTTATTTTAAGTAGAGAAGTTTTTTTTTTTTTTTTTTTTTTTTTTTTTTTTTTTTTTTTTTTTTTTTTTTTTTTTTTTTTTTTTTTTTTTTTTTTTTTTTTTTTTTTTTTTTTTTTTGTTTTTTTTTTTTTTTTTTTTTTTTTTTTTTTTTTTTTGCTAAAGCGTTGGGTATTTCGGTTTGCAGTTCAGTTTTTAGAAAATAATTAGATTTTGTTAGACGTGAATTCTTCCTGTTTTTACTGTTGCCATGTCGAAGCGTCGAAAATGTTTAACAGGGCATGAAATAGCAGAAATGATGCAAAATATTTCAGATATTGATTCTGAAACAGATTCTGATAGTAGTGATAGTGATACTATGATATATTCTGATCATAAAGAATCTGGCGAATCTAATGATGATGAGGACATTTCAGACATCTGTATGCCGACGCATCATCATTAATCCTTAATTAATTAATGTCCTCATCATCAATATCGTTATTACGAGTGCAAGGAAAGTAACGTAGGACTGTGTGTAGATCCCTGTTTCAAATTTTTCATACGAAAAGAGAATTTTAAGAAATATATTTAGTTTTCAGATGTATAATGTTAAAAGTCATAAAATGGTGAGTAATTAAAATAAAATGTGTAAAATATGCATTTAAACAAGAAATAAGGTAATTAAAGTATATATAAAAATGTCTACAAAGCATATCTATAAAGCATAAGCCGTTTAAATACTCTATAGAGCATTATGAAACAATGCATTGATACTTTGGAAATTTCATGGATTTAGGCTTAATAGCAAAAAAGCCCCCGGTCCCGTAAGACACTGCCGGCCTCAGCGATGAGCGCGCGTTTGCGCTACCCGGCGCGAAGGGGTTAAAGGAAATGGCTTCACTTAGTTATGAAAAATGAAAAACTATGGGTTTTGATAAATAATTGGGTGCTTTTTGACTATCTTCACTATCCATGAAAAGCTGCGAAAGAGTATGAGGCAAAGCAGTATGTCAACCAGATAGGTATGTGGCAACTCAGATTGTGATGAAAAAGTATTTGTATGGCTACCAAAGTTATGTATGTAACACATATTTGATTTAGTCAGTGCTCAATGCCATGTTTATGCAATTCTATGATGCTTTTAAAGCAAAAATGGATTGCTGTGTACATAAGGAGAATAATAGTTCCCCCCCCCCCAAAAAAAAAAAAAGAAAATTCTCGAAAAAGGTAAGTGTTTTATGATTGACGTTTCTTGCTTGTTTAATTTTATTGATTGACTGCTCTTGTATGGAATTCTTAGTGTGCCACCATTTTGAAAATGGCTGTTGCATTTCATACATTAGCTTGGCAAAAAATTGATTGCCAGCAAGTTCGTAAATGCTCTCCAGAGTCGGCAACGAGTTTATACTTTTTAATGGGGGTTCAGATAATCAAAATGTGCCTATAATTTAATGCAAATAAAGTTGATTGTTAAATTATATTGTTGATATCTTTATAAATGTTATTAATGATCACTGAGTTTTCATAGATTATTATAAAATAGTTCAATATTACAGTTGTTCATCATTTAGAACAAATGTAACACAGCCAAACACACAGCTGTAAAGGATCTTATAAGTGTAGACCTTCTTGTGTATTTATAGGTAAACTAAAGAACCTTTGTAATTTCTTTCCCAGAAGTGATTATTATTGAAAACTTCCAAAAATTAAAAAATTTTTTTAAAAACTTGCAAAAATATAAGTGATAACTACTGTACTTATTCAAAGATGTTTTAGTGGTTTTGTTAAAAATATGCTAGAGCATAGTTAAATTCTAAATTCACATTTTGAAGTTTGATTAAACACTAAGGCAACTCAGGTAGTAAACACAACTCGAATATCTTCATTATTTCAAGAAGCAGCACAAAGCAAAAATAAGAATTCATGAAGAAGAATTTCAAAAAAGATAAGCAAGAAAAACCATTTGTTAAAAATCATTTATGCTTTATCTTGTTCCTCTAGCATGTCTAATACAGTCAAAAGTCGTTAATTCGGACACCCATAATCCGGAATGATCTATAATCCGGACCTCAAAAGCTAAAAACTTTCTGCGCATGCGCCGCGTTGACACATGCGCATAGGCGTTTACGCGTGCGCATTGATGTGTGCGCAAGCGTAGAATACGTTTTCGCGTGCGCGTTTTTATATGTAACGGATTTGAACGGACGGTATAAGCTAAATGATGATTGCGTTGTTCCTTAATTTTCGAATTGGATCCGGGGCTTATTATTTTTTGCAGACTGTAAGAGCAATACTATAAAAGTAAACTTGAACTTTCGATTATGTCAAATAGAATTTCCGATTCTGGAGCTCCCAAAGAATCGTACAAAACGAAAGTATGTTTCGATGTCCATCAGACAAAAAATGGATAAAGACATGAAGAATGTGACAGAGAGGTTAGTGAAAACGAAAAAATTTCGATTGACAAGTTAGTCGGTATTCTCGGCACAGCAATTAACGGGACTTGAACAGCGGAACTTTGTAACTGAACAAAAAATTATGTCTGTTTATAGAATTAAAGAGAATGTATTATCACATAAAAACGAAGCAACTTAAACAGCTTACGTTGAAAGAAATGTTTAATAATGTAAACAAATAAATATTCAGCTTTTTTTTTTTGTAAATTTTGATACCCTTTAGATCATAATTTTTCTTTATTTCATAAATTACGGTTTCATATTTTTAATTTTAGAATTTCTGCATGCCATCTTATGCGATTTAAACTGATGATCTATAATCCGGAAAAATCGATAATCCGGAATCACCGAAGTCCCGACGAGTCCGGATTAATGACTTTTGACTGTATCAATTTTGTTATTTTTGATAATAAGCATTTCATTGTGTATTTTATATTTACAGGGATTCTCAGATGTGTCTTCAGTACATAGCTTATTGGGGTGGTAAAACACATATTGTTTTCATTGGTGACTCTCGTATTAGACAGTTATTCTATGGCTTTGTATCTTTAATAAACCCAAAGTATGAGGTAGGAGATCGTTTTGTTCATCATGATTTACATTTTGGAAATGAAGAACTAAAAGTTAATGTTGTAAGTAAAATTGATTTTTCCTCTCATTCAGTATTAATTTAAAGGCATTATTTCTGTTGCTTGTATCTCTATAATATTCATCATAATTTACTTACTGATGTGTGATATAAAAAATGTATTTGTGATTATTGTTTGTATTAAAATATATTTATGTATAATGGATGTATGATATAAACATAAAAAATTGGGATTCCTTTCTGAAGTAATTTAGGTTTTTTTTTTTTTTTTTTTTTTTTTTTTTTTTTTTTTTAAAACTGGGCAATATGCTTGAAATTCTTCTTTCTTACTTTTAATACTAAATTTTCAATGATTTTTCTTTTTTAGGATTTCATATGGGCACCTATGGTTAACCAATCTATGTTTGACATATATAAGTCTTGGCTGCAGGATGCCAGTATAAGGCCATCACTTATTGTAACTGGCAGTGGAGTATGGGCTATAAAAATAAGTAATGCTAGTATGGAAATGTTTGAAAGTTACCAAAGGAATTTAACTGAACTGATGCCTGTTCTAAACAGCTTAACACCAAGCACAAAAGTATTATGGGTTTTGCAGGATCCAGTTTTAACCGAAAAATTACATCCTTCAAGAAGAATGATCACCAATGAACAAATTGATTTGTATAACAAAGCTGCCATGGATATTTTGTAAGTTTTTTATATTTATAATTTTTAGTTTAAATGGATCTGAGTGATTAATATCTTTACTCAAATTTTAAGTATATTTGCTGTTCAGATTTGTCTAATATCTCACTATCTCTCAAATTTAGATAAAAAATGTGTCTTGTGAATACAGACTAAGTGAAATTTAACAACTGTATGTGAGTAATTCTGATTGATTTCTGGCTGCAGTGAATTTGTACATAAATAGTATTAATAATTTGTTGCTGATAGACTTAACAGTATTTTGCTTCCCCCTATTAGAATTCAAAGGGATATTAGATTTATGATTTTTTTTTAGTTTCACTTTTTAATAGGCAAAGCAATGCTATTATTTTCATTTTGCTAATAAAATTCTGAGTGTATTAATGCAACCACCTTGGCACAATTTGGCAATTTTCTGCAGGTGGAAAGGTGAAAATTACTTATTGGGTGCAAGTTGGTGATTTTTGCTACTTTTTTTTTATTCCCAGACTATTGATATTAATTGTAAATCGGCAAACATTATCAGCATATTAAAAAGTAATGCTGCAATTTAAAATGCAAATTTAATTATTAAATAAGGATTATATGATACAAAAAATAAAGTTTTCAACATCATTTTGTAATTTTATGCTTTAATGTCCCAAGTACACTGTGCTCTAGTTTTGCTTAAAAAACATCAGAAAACTGCCCAAATCCGGTATTGTGCACATTTTCAGCATTATTAAATGGTTATCTATCAAATGCATCCAATTGTATTCCATTTAGCAAGTTGGCCAAAAAAATACTGTATTCCTGAAATTTCATTGCTGTCAAATTCTACAACCAATTATTTTAAAATTGAGTCTTAGGGAGAAAAAAAGAAGAGAGAGAGAGAGAATATCACAGCTTGTGTATAAAAACCTTGGGGGGGGGAAGAATGCTGAACAAAATGGTGATGTTGCTTGACTGAGAGATTTTTTGAATATGGTTGTCTGAATAGGTTTTAGTGCAAATGTTTGCAAGTGTTCGGAAGTTTCCATTATGGTATTTGCAATAATACCTGAGTATCTGAGCTATCAAATTTTGAGGGTAACTTTAGGCTTTTTTGCATACTTTTCTGATTAGTTATATAAAAATAAATGTTGTCGAATGATGAACGAATTTCAACATTCAGGCTTTTACAATTGAATAAACCTTACAGCTTCATGATCCATATCCAAGTTATTTATTCAATATAGTTATATATCAATTATATCTTCAGCTTTACATTCTAGAGATTGCCGTATAAAATGGGAAATGCATGTAAAATTGAGGGTCACCTTTTAAAGGCAAGTAATCACAGTCTATGTGAAGTACATATAGTAGGCTAATGTTTATAGCAATAATTGCATTAACTGAGAATTGCTGTACAAATGTCACTTGTTTATAATTGCTATTCTAATTGCTGATATTAACTGTGAAGTGGAAATTTTCAAGGATATAATGAATTCTATATTATGGCCATTTTTGTTTTGCGTACAAAATTTAGATACTAGAATAGAATTGCTCTAATTTAATACTGTTTCGCAACTATGACATGGTGACAGATTGCTGATGTATTTTTATATTATTCAGTCTAAAATCAAATAGGATCAAGCAATTCTGAAAGCCAATAGGCAGAAATTTATCCTTAATGATTTTTTTTAACTTTGTGAATCTTTTAATTTAGTTGAATAATAATGATAAAATAAATTAAATTTTTTAAAAAATAATTCACTTTGAATTTATTTGATTTCTTTCCAGTCAGTTATCATTAGTTCATTCATTAATCAGTGAATTTGAAATTTGACAATGATTAAACTCCTTTTAAAGAAGCTCTGTAGAAGCAAATTTTGTTCAAAATCAGTATGTTTTAGTCTGCTTTGGAAAGAGAGGCCTGACTTTCAACTACTCGGGAAACAAGCTGCAATATGTAACATGTTGGCACCAGATAAACTTCTTGGTAAATTACACCACTTCCAAAAATAAGCAGTAAAAGGTGCCAAAACTCCAGCTGACAAAATAGTTAAGCTATTAAAAAAGTAATTTTTTTTTCATTTTACAACATCTAAATAAAAAAGAAATATCTATGATTTTTTATGTATTAATGCTGCATCAGTGCTTATATGAATAGTCATTGAATATAGCTGGAACTCTTATTTTATTCCTCATTGAAATGAACATTGAATATAGTTGGAACCCTTATTTTATTTCTCAATGAAATGAACTGGCTACATGAAGTTGTTTTTATGATTTTTCCAGAGAGAATCAGTTTTTCTAAGAAGTTTATTGTGAAAGGCATTTCCCTTGGTGAAAATTACCTTCATGTGCATGATAAAGAAATCAAAATCCAGTATGTTATGCTTATGAAAATGCTGCTTTATTTTCTAGCTTTAGTTTTTAATGATTAGATTACAGAGTCTTTTCCTATTAAGACCAAAGATTTTTTCTGGCATTTCCATAATATTAGGAATTAATTTGTAGCTGAATATGTGTTAAAATTGATGCTTTAAGTTATAAAAGAATGAAACTTAAATCATGGTGTGTTCATGTATAGTTCAACTTAGGCTCTGTGTTGTTGCCAATCCGTCACAATTTAGCTCCAGCTAGATGTGGTCCATGACTCCCATGCTCCATGGCAAAGTCAAGCATCAAAAGCTAATGCATGTAAATAGTATCTTCAAGTGCAAAACCCAAGCAATTAAGAATATGATGAAATTGTTGTCCCTGCAGTTATATAATCATTTAGGTGGAGGGTGCATTGTGGCATAATATTGCAAATACACACATTTTCTGTTTTAACCGACTAAATGGGCAAATCATAGTTATGTATTTAATAATATTATATTGGTCCTGGTGGATTTTAAGTGCATCCATGTGTATCTTGAAATATTCTTAAACCATTAAGGGGTATTTTGGATGTATAATTAACAAAATACCTCTTTTTATTACTATCCCTCTGACAATCTCTATATTAATCTGTAGATGTTGTATGATAAACTGTTTGTTATATTCCTATGTGGTATTTTGTTAGTAATATTATACAGACTTTATTTCTAATTTACTATTGTATTCATTTGTAAATGTATATTTGAATGCTATCTCTAATATTATTACCTTAAGATATAGCTGCTGTTTGAATCCCATTATTTTTTTTTTCTTTCAGTCATCATAGTAAAGTTTTAATATGGAGTTCCTCTCGATTGGTTTGTCAGGGATTGTATCAAGATCAAGAAGATGGTTTACACATGGGCAAAAATGCCCTTAATTATGTTCGTAGCAAGAAAGTTTCTTATCAGAACTGTCATTTTTATATTTACTTATTTTATGTTAACTATCTTTCAGTTATAGTTTACTAACTTTTGTGTTTTATATAATAGGCAGTTCAAATACTTTTGAACATGTATTGCAATGACCACATGAATTACAATGATGGGACATGCTGCAGTAGTCCAGAGCCAGTAACTGTCTTGCAGCTGGTTGTATTTTCCATTCTAGGAGTGAGGTAATTTTTTTTTTTTTTAAATTGAAACAAAGTTATTGTTTTGTTAGAAATCAAAGTAAAAATTTTAATGAAAATTTCATATATTTAATTAATCTACTTTGTTTTTAATTTTAGGTGCTAATTAATCTATAGCTTATATTTAGGAGAATGCAGCCAGACATACTTGTTGACTTTTTTCAAAAATTAATTTAAGCCTTAATAGACTATCTTAATTTATTATGAAATTGCTATTAAGTTAAATCTTCTTTTGATTAGTGAATATGTTTGCTATAAAGAAAACTTTTACAAATGTTTAAAATATCTGATGATTTAGGCTATGGAAGTGAAGAAACATTTTCTATGGGAAAAGAGAGGGCATCAGCTATCTTGCAGTAAACTCGGTGCTGATGGATGATTGATTACATTACAGTTATGCTGTTGTAAATGACTACTTTTAAAAAATCACAAACCATTTTTTCCCCACAGTATAAACTTATATTTTCTGAAGAATGATTTCGCGGCAATATATATATATCTTTTGAGCTGGGACAACACAGTGAATGCAATAAGCACTTTACAATAGCTATAGAGCATATCACATTTTTATACAGTGGACAAGGTCAACAGGTGATTACTACATGTTAGGGGGAAAAAAAAAGTAGTAGTAAAAGTCGGGCTATTTTTAGAGATGCAAAGTCTGTCTGGATGTAGGCAGGGATTGGTTTAGAGTTCTCAGCATTGTTGAACACACTGCTGGTGTTGGACTTTAGGAGGGTACATAATTAAATCTGAAGAAGAAATTTAAAGGGTTATTGCTAATTAATTTGCTGAGTTATGAGTGATTTATTCTCTTATTTTATAGTTTATATATATATAATATGTAAGATATAACAAAATATGATATCTGTTTAAAAAAATAATTGGTGACCTCAAAATTAACATTCTAAATTTGGTGATCTCCCCCTTGGCTCATCTTTTCTCCCAGGTTCCAGATGTAATGTTTTAATGCAGATACCTCTTGTCCAATCAAATTAATTGTAAACCAAAACTAGGAACTGAAACTTTTCCGACTCCCAACCTTCTTCCTCTGAAGTGCTATGACACTCTTCCTTTTTCACATAAGCTCTCCTACTGGCAAGATGCTTTTCATTAATGCTGCTGCCACTTATTTGCTTAAGATGACGTCGTACTTCAAAATGGAACTAATTTATATTCAAATATAATTAGGAAACATCTTGTCTGCAAAAGGATTGTTTGATATACATAAAAAAATAAAGATAGCGGTTCTTCGAGATCTGTTGTGCTAAATGCATCATCATGCTTTTCCACTTAGCCCTACTTTCAAGCCACTAGTCTTCTCAGCCATCTATGCAACATCGAAAGCTGTTAAAAGTTCTAATGTTTTGATCTACGCATTTTAAAATTATTACATTTTTATAAAAAGTCAACAGAGGATGAAAAAATTTTCCCCAGTGGTCTTCAAACTCTGCTGCCTCAAACTTCCAGTGAATCATCAAATTTGTTTCTGGTGTGTGATTTAACGGCGAATTCAAAAATGCTTTGAAGATCATCGAGTATCTGTACATTCAAAATCGAAAAGAGAAGAGAAAGTGTTTCGAATCAAGGTCAGTGCCACAACGGTGAAATATGGTTAATGGTTATGGCTCACTTCAAATATTCACAATGTTTATGCATTTCTGATTATCGTGCAAAAAGAAAATTTAACATCCAAAGTGCTTTGAAGGTCAGCAACCAAGTGAAATGCGAAATACCAAATAGTGTTTTGCGCTCTTTTGCGTGTTCAGTGCTTTATTTCACAAATTCTCCATATTCAGAGAATGCATTATTATCAAAAGTCATCAAAGTGGTATTAAGTTCCAAATTGAGTAAATTACATTAAAAAAAAAACTTTGCATTTATATGTTATTGCATTATTATTTATTGATGTTAATACTTTGTTTAAATCATTTTAAGATCAAAGTTAATAATTCAAAAATTTTATGATTTATTTAAAATGTAGTTTTGTATTTTTGAATTGGGGAAAAATATTGAATTTAATAAAAATTAGTTAAAGAATTTGAAGGTTTTACTTAGGGAAGGTTCCTAATGCGAATAATATTTTTATACTATTGTTTAAATTCCTTTGAATTTATATTTTTGAATTTTTACTGTATTTTAAGAATGAAATTATTGCTTGAAATTTTTGAATTGTAGGTATTTCTCTAATGTTTTCAAGATAAACGTTGAAGGCTCTCACCTTATGAAAAAATACATTTAAAAAAATAAAATCTAAGTATTTTTATTTTTCATAAAAAGAGTGTGTTTTTAATTTTTATAATGGAATGACAACAGTCTGAAAAAGGCCAGTTGCCTCTATCAAAGGAATGGAGGCCTTTTCTACAATACCTGCTAATATAGCAAATCTTTTGCCCTCTGGTGAAGAATAAACACCTGTTCCCTCAACTGAAAAACCAATGTAACGGATATGCTGGTATTTAGAGAAAGTTGTGGAGTCTTCAGGTTTTGTAAAGAATAAGTAAATTTTAAATGTCTTAATAATAGTGAAAAGTTTGAAATTTATTGTGTTTATGAATGATGTATACAAAATTTTTATATTTTAAAGTGCCCCTCCCTAAAACTATAATTATGGAGATTCTAACAAATAACATGAAAGTTGGCATCTCAATCTGTATTATAATAGAAATATTTTCATCAAGAAAAATTAGAAAGACTTTTATTTAAACATTTACTTTGTCAAAAAATTTGAGTATTACTTTGTGGAACTATTTTCATCAAAAACTTTACAAAATTTCATTGGACATTCTTATCTTGGAACTCTAAAATGACTAAAATGCAATTGTTTTAAAAGAATACAGTGCTTAAAATTATTATTGAATTCAAAATTTGATGACTTTCAGTGAAAATATCAGTCAGAATTTAATGACAATAATTTTTTTGTTTACAAGTTCAAAATTATATCTCTCTCATTTTGCTGCTCTAATGCTTTTTCTTCCACCCTACTCACCCAACCTTTCTTTTGAAGGGGGGATATGTAAGATATAACAAAATATGATAGCTGTCTTAAAAAAATAATTAGCAGCCTCAACATTAACATTGAAAATTTGGTGGATCTTCCCCTGGGTTCATCTCTTCTCCCAGGTTCCATATTTTTCTGTGTTATGTAATGTTTTAATGCAGCTACCTCTTGTCCAGTCAAACTAATTGTAAACCAAAACTCAGAACTGAAACTTTTTCGACTCCCAACCTTCTTTTCAAAAACTATGACACTCTTCCTTTTTCACATAAGCTCTCCTGCTGGCAAGACGCTTTTCATCCAAGCTGCTGCCACTTACTTGCTTAAGATGACATGTACTTCAAAATGGAACTTATTGTATTCAAATATAATTAGGAAACATCTTGTCTGCAAAAGAATGGTTTGATATACGTAAAAAAATAAAGATTGTGATTCTTCAAGATGTGTTGTGCTAAATGTGTCATTATGCTTTTCCACTTAGCTCTACCTTCAAGTCGCCACGGTCTCTCACCCATCTATGTAATATCGAAAGCTGTTAAAAGTTCCAATGTTTTCATCTACGCATTTTAAAATTATTATATACAGTCAAGTCATTAATCCGGATTCGTCGGGACTTCGCGATTCCGGATTATAGATCATCAGTTTAAATCTAGTAGGATGGTATGCAGAAATTATAAAATTAAAAATATGAAACCGTAATTTATGAAATAAAGAACAATTATGATCTAAAGGGTATCAAAATTTATAAAAAGAAAAAGCTTAATATTTATTTGTTTACTTTATTAAACATTTCTTTCAATGTAAGTTGTGTAAGTTGCTTCGTTTTATGTGATAATACTTTAATTCTATTAAACAGACATAATTTCTTGTTTAGTTACAAAGTTCCACTGTTCAAGTTGTATAATTGCTGTGTTGAGAATACGGACTAATTTGTCAATCGCAATTTTTTCGTTTTCAATAATTCAATTCGTTTTCAATTTCGTTTCTCTGTCACTTTTCTTCACTATCGGAAACGAATTATAATGACGAGGAACTTGATTTAAATCATATCAAAGACGGAGTACATCGAGATGAAATACTACATTTAATAAGGAATTAATTATAAGCCAAATAAAATAAAAACATCTGTGCTGAAGATAAGGATAGTGCTGACAGATCAATTTCCAATTCATTGTGCACCGCGTCATTTCCCTCCCCCCGCAGAGCAGCATGAAATTGAGAAGCATATTTCGGAATGATTAGATAATCAAAGGATATGCCTTTATCCATTTTTTGCAACAATTCCACTTTCTGTTTAATGGACTTCGAAACATACTTTCGCTTTGTAGATCCTTTTCATATTAGTAAATATATATCCGAAATTCTATTTGACATAATCGAAAGTTCAAGCTTACTTTTATAAAATTGCTCTAACAGTCTGCAAAAAAATAATAAGCCGGATCCAATTCGAAGATTAAGGAACAACGCAATCTGCAACATTAACTGAATTAGATAATTTTAGCTTAGCTTATACCATCCGTTATACATAAAACGTGCATGCGTAAACATATTATGCGCATGCACACACGCATATTCGCAGCCATAAAGGTCTTACGCGCACACGTAAACGCCTATGCGCATGCATCAACGCGACGCATGCGCAGAAAGTTTGTAGCTTTGAGGTCCGGATTATGGGTGTCCGAATTAATGACTTTTGACTGTATAAGGAAAAAATATGGAACTCAAAATTACTAACTTTAATTTGACTACATCCCCTTTCTGAAATCTAAACTGCTTTAATATAAAAGATTTTTTTGTATGCCAATATAAAATATGAAAATTGCAATACTGAATATTGTTGTAATCAATTAATAATTGTACAGAAAGGCATATGTTAAGATAAACTTTGAAGGCTGCCACCTTATGAAAAAATAGTAATTTTTCATGTGTAAATTATTGATTGATTTATTTTTTACGTATAATGAAAATTAAAATTTTTTAACGTGATGGAATGTTTTAGTACAGTTTAAAAAAGCCAGCTGTCTTTAAAAGGACTGGAGGCCTTTATGAGAAACTGTCAGATCAAACCCCTTTAACTGTTGGTGGAATATGTGAATTAGTTAACTTGGATTTGCTCCAGTCATGGATGTGTTTGTTTATATGTGGGTTCTTCCAGTTTTGTGTAAAATATATATATATATATATATATTGAAAATAATAAAAAGCATAATTTCAGTAATACAATTTCAAATAATGTTAAAGTGTAAGTTATAATAATGAAAATTAGTTCCAAAATTTTGAAATTTTTGTGTGAAAAGTCTTGATAAGCGTTCCCTAAACAGATAATAATTATTAAGATTCTAAACCTAACTGTGACAAATTGTTGTCAAATTTGATTTCCTCTCAGTCTGGCTTCTTTTTGTCTATTTTTTTTAATTATTATTGTAGGATAATCTAAAATTTCTTTTTATTCACTAAATTTGTAACTCCTGACTTGAACATACAAGTTATTAGTCTTAATTTGAATTTTCATATTAATTTTTTTAATTTCAGTTTTGTAATTTGAAGAATTTCAGGGCCGTACTTCATAGTTAATAACTTTGATCTATTTGTACAATGCTAAAAGCTAGTTAGTTACATTGTATAAGGAATGGATGGTTTTAATTGCTATAATATTAAAGCATCCCACAAACATCACCAAGGAGTTATGCTGATATGCTTTGTGAAGACCTGCCCATTTTTATCAAAATTATTTGGCTATTATATTGGATTTTATTAGGTTTCTGTGTTAATTTCTTAAGTTCATTTTACATTGCTTTATGATAAGAAAATATGGTTTTGTTTTTATAATGAGTGAATAAGTAATTTTAATAGAATCTGGTGAATAGTAGAAATATTTTGTTTTTATTTTGACTACAGCAGTTTCTACAAGAAGACTTTTAAGGCAAGGGCTGTTAAAAATTATATTATGGTATTCAAACAAAGATTTTGAAGAACTGGGAACGTTTCCAATTACTTCATTAAAAAATTAGGACTCCAAAGACAATTTGATTATATTTAAAAACATTTTAAGAACTTTCAAAACTTGTATTTTTAAAGAAAATGAAGTTACGCATTTTTCAAAAATTTGTCTACATTTACTTTATTATATAATATATACATATATATTTCCAAATTACATTCTTAAGTGTAGTTTTTGTATGTTTAAGATATAAGAAAGTTCATGAGCAAAATGACAAGGCATAGAGAAACCTGAAGTCTATGTCCTTGAAGAAAACAATTTTCTTCCTTATTGAGGAAGCACATATTGTATATATTGCACAAAATATATCTTCATTTGCTAATGCTATAAGGTATTTTCTCCCTTCTTTTATGCATGCCTTCATGATGTAATTGGAAGTATACTCGGCATGTATTCGAGAGGTCCTGGCAAGGGGACTGCACATTTTTCATGTTCCAGCATTGATATAAGCTAATGACACTACACCACAAATACTGTAATGCTTTTTTTCCCTAAAAGGATTTTCTTTTACTAAGCCTTTTTCTCTTTGAATGGAGAGATATGTAAAATATATATATATATATATATATATATATATGAAACACAAAATTACTAACTTTAATTTGCCTACATCCTTTTCATAGAATCTAAATTACATCATATCTGAAAACTAATCTACATTATGTTGTCTTATACTTTTGTATTGTGGATGGCTCTCATCCAGTCACTGAGCCAAAATTTAAACAAATGAACTGAGTTTTTAAATACCACTATTACTATTGCTCAGTCCCTTCCTTTTCATACTTTGCATTCCTGCTGATTAGAGTGTTGCTTAATCTCTGCTAGCTGTTGTTCATTGCTCTGAAAATCTAAGCTGTGCAATTGTAGAGTGCAGGAAAATCTCATAATGGTGATATATGGGGCCAGTTTTAACTATGAAATAAAACTGTATATATCAATACCACCTCTGCTAAACACACTAGTGTTTGTACATTGCCTTCATGATAAAATTTCCTTCCAACCATTTAGTCCATCCAATCCCATAAAGTGCTATAATTGACAGTACTCTTATTCAACTTTCTTCTATGGACAAAACAGTATTGTCTTTGAACACAATACATTGCACATCTTCCTTGATTTGATAATGGACATTTGATTCACAGGAGACAAAAAGTATGAACATTTGGCTGACTGAAATGGAGCATTGTTGAAGAAAATTATCAAACATTTACTGTGTACAAAATTATCAAACATATAATTCATGTTTTGCTTATTTTATTTGTCAGGTTTATTTAAAATTTCATCTAAAATTGTGTATTTGAAGAGTTCACTGTGTGAATAAAAGTAAAATGTTAAAAAGTTTCTTATGAAATTATTTCAAATATAAGTTTTCGTCAGATGTATTTAAATTACATTTAAAATACATCTGACATGAATTGTTAAATGATATTTGTGTAAAATTATATTATTTAACTTTTTGTGTCACTTTTTTTGCAGTTGCTGCATAGCTTTAGCAATGGTGAATTCATTGGAAATGGATTAATAGGAAAACGTGTAATGCAATCATATTGAATTCAGATGATGGTAAATGACATGTTATTCATTTTCATTATAGTGTTTAATTATATCCTTGAATTGCATTGTAACTAAATAGGATAATTATTTAAGTTTTCTGAAATTCCTCTATATTATGTTCTAAGCAAAACAAAACAAAGTTAATACGAAAGTGTAGTATATTTTTACTATTATTAAAAAACACTGCACTTAACATAAGTTTTTTTATGCATTATAGAAGATGAAGTGATGTTTAAATTGTAATAGCCATTGATGGAATATGTTGTTGTGATAACAATGACATATACCACCACATGTAATAGTGTAAGATATTTAATATAGCTTACAGAACATATAAAAAAATAATCTCTCAAAAAACAGTTTATTTAAGGGATTTTGAAGATTCATGCATAAAAATTATAGATTCCATAAATACCAGTCATTGAGACTTCAGGTTTTTTTTAAACTTAAGTTTCAATCCAAATCACTTTGAAGTTTTTGCTTTTAAGCAATATTTTAATAAATAATTTTTGTACTATATTGATAAAAGGGAGAATATGTTTTGTTATTAGTCTTTTATTGTGTCATTTCTCTTAACTCTAAAAATTATCTTAAAATCTGGTTTTCATTTGGATGAGTAAATGTTTGATACACTGTCTTCTCTAAATTAATTTTCATATTATGAGCGTACCACCAATCTTCTAAAATCTTTAAAGGCCTGATTTAGAATTAGCTCCGATTGTTCCTTTGTGTGACGTTTAGAAGTCTCAGTCCAGAAGACAAAATCAGCATACAGTAAACCTTTAACATTGCTTTTTTTCAGTTTCACTTATGGGACTGTTTATATGTATGTTAAATGGAAGACAATTGGTAACAGCTTCTTGTGGTAGGCCAGACCTAAGAACTTTGTATCGTGAAAAGCAATTTTCATAATGAACTCTACAAATTCACTGGCTAAGAAAACTTGGAACTAACAAAACATGTTTGAGTAAACTCCAGTATTGGAGAGCTCCCAAAGTAGAGTAACCCTACAAACTAAGCCAAAATTCAGCATGGATTGTATCTTTGTCTATAGATTTATTAGGTTTTAAATGGCTTAATGCCACAGAGAGTACATCCATGGTGATTAAAGTACCAAGAAAGTGAAGGGAATTTTGCACCTGCATTCCACTGGAGAACCTATAGAAAAGAACTTTGTTGGTGATACATGATACAGAACTTTGTTGGTGAAGTTTGTAGATCACTTAGTCATATTTCTGCATTACTGGGATGCACCGCTATAAAATGGATCTACATTGCACCCCAAAATTGGAAAATAAAATAATAAATATGTATTCAACTAAAATTGAAATATCAGTTTAGTAAAACAGTCCTGATGTTAATATATTAAGTGGTAAGCATGAGTATGTAGATTGTTGTAAAAAGTTTTGGTCAATATATATTTTTTCAAGGAATTCTTATTCACAGATTCTAATAGAATTTGTGTTTTGGAAAGTAGTGGCAGGCTTTTTAAACATTTACCCAATAGCTAATTCGAAATATTATTTGCATAAATTAAAAATCAAGAGTATTTCTAGTACATTAAATTGTTTCTCTATTATTGTTAGATTAAGTCATGAAACTGCATGTGAGTATTATTGATATATTTTTAGCATTTGGATACACATTGTTATGAATTTTATATTTAAGTAGGTAAGTTCAGTAGAATTATAATTAAAATTGTATTTTTCTGTGTAATGTTATGCGAGACAAATTTTTAAGAAAACGCTATACTTGAAAAGTAAGAATGCAGGGGCACATGCATTTAGCATTGAGTAAATGGGTATCGGTAATTTGTATTGAGATTGAACAAATGTAATTGACCACAATGTTAGCTGTAATTCCACCCTTGTATTGCTTTCCAGTAATTTTAAAAAGCAGAAATTACTAGAAATATCTCACAATTGGTTGAAAACTATTTGAGACCGAAGAATAGGCATCTCCTCTCAGTTGTTTAGTTGTCGTTGTTGCGAGATGCTTAGTTAGCTGCTGCTGTTATTGTTGTGAATTCAGCATGAGATCCGATTAGCTTTTTCTTTAGATGCACTTTTTATTGTGTTTTGTTTAAGGTTATTAATAGTTTGTAGTGTAACTACTGATTATACTGTGAACACTTATATGAATATTTCTGTGAAAAATTCCACAGTTCTGAAATATTTCTTTAGAAAAAAATAAATTTTTATTAACTTATCATTGAACTTATACATTCAATCTGTTACGAACTCATAAGCACATAACAATATGAATTACTTGTGAGAAAATGCTTGTGGTACTCCAAATGCCAGAGCTAGGACAAGGGACTCTGGACTATTCCCCAGAGGCAAGTAAGGTATTTCCTGCTGGGAAAATAACAGGTGTGCCAGTATGCAAGATTACCTACAGATATTTTTAAATTAAAAAAAAATTATATTATGGTTATTAACTTTAAAAGTTGGAACCTATCAATAAGTATTAAAAGAACTTTGTTTTATAAACTATCCAGATGAATTAGAAGCATCAATAACATTAATTTATTCTCATAAGTACTGAACTTTTGCAGTATTGTAACACTGTTTTCTAACATAAGATTTAGTCTTGGAATTAACACACTTGTGCACACATTAAAAGTTATTCTTGGAATTTGTGTTTGTTTACACTGACATATCCAGCTTCACAAGACTAAACTTGTATAGACGCTACCATACTGTCCAAAGTCCACCAACTGAAAATGGATGGTTATGTAACTAACTATTAGAGTTTCTCCATCTTCATCAGTAGATTTTTGCAGTTCAATAAATGAAAATATCTTTTTATTTCATCTTCATCAGTTTCACATTCTGAATTGCTGTCATTGGAAACTTCATCAAAATCGTGAAGGAGTTAATTAAACCTTTTTCCTCTGCTACATGACAGTAGCAAAACATAGCTAAATATGGGCAAAGAAGTAGCATCCATTGGGTCCTAGATGAGTCGGAAAGTGTAGTTTTAAACTAGGGAGAAGTTAAAAATGTGTTCCTTTCTTTCAAACAATCAAATTTCATCAGTTATCAATAAGCTTTAAAAGTATTGCTCTGTTTTATGTTAGAAAGCTGTATTTGAATGGTGATACTTATCTATAGTCATAAAATTGAAATTATGTGTAATTAATTGAAATTATTTTTTAGACTAAGTTTATTCTTCCTCTTGTCTCCGTGTGTGTTTTAAGAAATTGTTTAAAACTGGCCCTTTAATTTGAAATAATTGGCAAAACTGATGAAAACACATGTTGCTTCTGAGCAACCATAAGAAATAAAGGATTAGCCACTGTTTTATGTAATCTGATTGATTGATTATGTAATTTCAAAATGATAATTTTGCTATTTAACTCTATTCTTATTTTTGCAAAAGTTTAAATTGCAATTCAGCACATGAAATCTTGCTAATTGAACTATGCTGTATGAAAGGAAATTTAAAAAAAAGTTAAGATATCAAAAGGTTACCTGTAGCAGGTCTATTGTGAAGATGATGTGGATGATGGAGATTCTTATTTCTGTTACACGTTTGCGTAATTTTCATTAGATGACTATACATTGCTTAGAAACTGTCTGTTGACTTTAACACCCTCATTAAGGTCACTACATGAATATTTGGAATTCATTTTCAAGTTTAAAAATTCCTTTACTGTTGATATTGTTACGGTTTTTTATTAGTTTGCTATTTTTATTAGAATTGTTATTAAATTGTTTCATTTCTCCATGCAATGCTGCACGCAACAAGTTTTAAGAGAAAGCTGCACCGAAAAAAGTAAAAATACAGGAGCATGTGCATTTAACATTTAATACATAGATATCTCATAATTGTGTTCTTTTGCTATCCAGAAAAATCGAGAAAATACCAAAATGTTCTCATGCATGATTAAAAATCTTATAAAAGCCAGATCAAAACATTTCAGTTCAGTTGTTTATTAGTTGTTTACTTAGCTCTTGTTGATTGTAGCGGATTTCCGGTGAGACCAGATTAGTGTATACTATTTAATGTTTTAGTAGTTCAAAATATAATTACTCTGAGATATTTAATACTGTACGAATATCTCTGAGGAAATTTCAGCATTTTGTTTTATTTCTTGCGATAGGAATAAGTTTTATTAACTTTTTATCCATTTGTGCTTTCAAACCATTATGAACCCATACACACACAACACTTTTTGGTGTCAGAAGTGGGATATTGAATGCCAGTCACAAGAGTGATGGGAAAACAGTTAGGGCAATTCATGGCAGCCTTTGCTGCATTTAAAGAAGACATGAAAGATTCTGTTAAAGACAAAATGAGGCTGTTAAAGAGGAGATGGAAGCTGGCCAAAAGTCTGTTAAAGAAAAGATGAAAATCTTCAGGAAAACATTGAAGCAAGACAAGAAGAGGTGAAAAGAGAAATTACTTGCATAATAGAAAATAAAATTGAGGCTATGGAAAGCAGAATAGACAAGGTTGAAAATAAAGTTGGACAAATTGAAAAAAAAAAGTTTCTTCTGTCAAAGAACAAATAGAAGAGAGAGTTTCTGTTGTGGAACAACAAATTGAAGGAAGTGTTTTTGCCCTCCAATACCAAATCGAACAAGAAATTGATGGCAGGGTTTCAGCAGTTGCAAAAGAAATTGATATTTTAAAGAAGTTCATAGCAATGGCAGGGAGCAATTTTGAAGGCTTCAAAGTTTTACCTGTGCCTGCTCGTTCCTCTCTGAAGCTATCCACTTATGATTTAAAAGAGCTCCTGGTAAGAATATAAGGACACAGTTTTCTATAGTGGCAGAACCAAATAGATGGGATCCCCAAGCTAAGGCCTGTCATCTTGCCTCTTCTCTGAGAGCAGATGCAGCGGATATTCTTCAGATTGTTCTTGAAAACAAAACCCTAGATTTATTTCTGGCGCATTGGAGCTGCGCTTTGGGGAGAAGTGTTTAAAAGGCTACAGCAGGCTTCAATTAAAATTCCATGAACAGAAGCCAATAGAAACGTTCCAGGAGCTCGCTATGGAT